CCCTGCCTCTCAGCCCGCCCCCCCTGCCTCTCAGCCCGCCCCTCCTGACTCAGGACACCTTTCCTCCAGGACAAAATCATGATCTCTGAGGATGAAACCATCACAAACCATGGAGACACCAAGTGGTTGCCATACAAGACTCGTAGGTCCTCCACAGGCAGGCAGCAGGCGGATAGCACCTGGGGCCATCAGACAGAGACGCACCTTAGGGGAGGGGCAGAGCGAGGGGGTGCTGCGGGGGACAGAGCGGCATGTGGACAGACAGCCCCTCAGTACTCTGTCCTTGCAGACAACATCACCATCTTCAGACAGACCTCCACCCACCTCCAGATGGCCACCAGCTTCGGGCTGGAGCTGGTGATCCAGATGCAGCCGGTCTTCCAGGTGTACATCACCGTCAGTCCCCAATTCAGAGGCCAAACCAGAGGTGAGCCCCTGCCCACCGGCCTCTCCCAGGGCCGGCCGGGCCACCTCCATCCACCATGAGCAGGTGGGGAAAGGCCCTCCACCTACAGGACCCTGGAAGAGCTGCTCCTCCAGGCCAGGAACAACCTCTGACCGGGGCCCAGCGAGGCAGAGGGGGTCTGAGACCGAGGGGGGTACGGGAGGACAGGGGGGCTCAATCCTACGGCCCGGCTGGTTCAGGCCTCTGCGGCAACTTCAACGGGGACACGACCGACGACTTCACCACCAGCGCGGGCCTGGGTGAAGGCACGGCCTCTCTCTTCGTGGACTCCTGGCGAGCAGGGAACTGTCCGACCGCCCTGGAGCGCGAGACGGACCCCTGTTCCATGAGCCAGCTCAACAGTGAGTGCCGCGCTGCCCCTCGCCGCGCAGGCCCCGAGCGCAGAGGGGACAGGAGACCCAGAGCTGGCCCTGTCGCCCACAGAGGTGTGTGCGGAGACCCACTGCTCCATGCTGCTGAGGAAGGGGAGCGTGTTCGAGAAGTGCCACACAGCGGTGAACCCCCAGCCCTTCTATAAGGTGGGGCTCGCAGGCATCGGCCGGGGTGGGGTGGGGGGCGTTCCACACCTGGGTTCCGGAAGCTGGGACGCCACCAGGGTGGGTGGGAGCCCACGGCTCCCTGGCCCAAGGACGGCAGGTGTCCACGGCCGGCTTCTCCTGCAGAGGTGCGTGTACCAGGCTTGCAACTACGAGGAAACCTTTCCGCACATCTGCGCCGCCCTGGGGGCCTACGCCCAGGCCTGCTCCTCCCGAGGGGTCCTGCTCTGGGGCTGGAGAAGCAGCGTGGACAACTGCAGTGAGTGCCAGGCGCAGCGGGGAGGGGCGGTGGGATGCGGGGCTCGGGCCATAGGAGCAGCCAGGAGGGAGCGCGGCGCCACGCTCCAGCCCCCTCCGACTGCTTGTCCGAGGCCCACCCTCCTTTCCCACAGCTGTCCCTTGTTCCGGGAACCGCACCTTCAGCTACAACAGCACGGCGTGTGACCGTACCTGCTTGTCTCTGTCGGACCGCACGGCAGAGTGCCACTCCAGCTCCGTGCCGGTGGATGGCTGTAACTGCCCCGAGGGCACCTACCTGAACCACAAGGCTGAGTGTGTCCGCAAGGCCCAGTGCCCCTGCCTGCTGGACGGCTCCAAGTTTGTCCTGGCTGACCAGTCCACCATCATCAATGGGGCCATCTGGTGAGGCTGGGCGCTGGGCAATCCAGGCGGCATGCCGGCAGGGCAGGGGTGGCGCCCACAGGTGGCTCACAGGCTTCTCCCTCACAGCTACTGCACCAACGGACGGCTGAGCTGTCCACGGCAGCAGGAGATGTTCTTGGGTATGTACCCACGTGGCCTGTCCACGGCCCGCGCGGGCTGGCCGGCGGGCCCCATTCCTCAGACTTCTCCAGCTCTCCATTCTCCCTCTCCCTCCCCACAGCATCCTGCATGGCCCCCAAGACATTCCAGTCCTGCAGCCAGTCCTCAGAGGACAAGTTTGGAGCCGCCTGTGCCCCCACGTGTCAGATGCTGGCCACGGGCAGCACATGTGTAAGGGGCAAGCGGGACTGGCTTTCTGGGCACCACATGGCCTCCAAAAACACACGGGGCTGGCACTGCTCCCTTCCCTCCACCTGTCTGTCTGTCCCAGCGGCTGGCACCAGGTGGGAGGTCAAAAGGTCCACAGCGGCTCCGGGACTGGGCTGCGAGGGGTCGGGGCTTGTCTGTGGGGCTCTGAGGGACATGGCTGGCCTCCGGCCTGAGCACTACTGCCGTCCGTGCGGAGGTCCAGCCAGGCATGCACCCTTCCCCGAGGGGGTGGCTTTGCTGTCCCGAGGCTGAGAGCAGGCTAGACAGAGGGACCGGGCCTTAGTGCTGTGGTCTCTGAGCCCAGGGTTGGGCAGCAACAGGCCGAGCCACCCCCCAGGAGCCCGAGCCCACCTCTCCCCGCAGGTGCCAACCAAGTGCGAACCCGGCTGCGTCTGCGCCAAGGGGCTCTATGAGAACCCCCAGGGGCAGTGCGTACCCCCGGAAGAGTGCCCGTGTGAGTACGCAGGGACCTCCTACCCCGGGGGAGCCGAGCTCCACACGGACTGCAAGACCTGGTAAGGACTCGCTCCCCCAGGCCCGGGGCCCGGGCTGCCTGGGCGGGGCACCTGGAGGTGGGGTGTCTGGAGGTGGAGAGTAGGCCCCCAGGAACTTAGGACAAACCTCACGTATGACACACACACACACACACACACACACACACACACACGCGCCCGTACCCTCGCCCAGCACCTGCTCACAGGGGAAGTGGACCTGTCAGCAAAACGCCCACTGCTCGGCCACCTGCGTCCTCTACGGCGAGGGTCACATGATCACTTTTGATGGACAGCGATTCGTGTTTGATGGCAACTGCGAGTACATCCTGACCACAGTAAGTGCCAGGCCAGGGGAGAGGCCGGGGTCGTGATACCACAGTCAGTGCCAGGAGAGAGGCCGGGGTCGTGATACCACAGTCAGTGCCAGGAGAGAGGCCGGGGTCGTGATACAAGTCAGTGCCAGGGGAGAGGGCAGAGGTCATGGTACCACAGTCAGTGCCAGGGGAGAGGGCAGAGGTCATGGTACCACAGTCAGTGCCAGGGGAGAGGCCGGGGTCGTGATACCACAGTCAGTGTCAGGAGAGAGGCCGGGGTTGTGATACCACAGTCAGTGTCAGGAGAGAGGGCAGAGGTCATGGTACCACAGTCAGTGCCAGGGGAGAGGCCGGGGTCATGATACCACAGTCAGTGTCAGGAGAGAGGCATGATACCACAGTCAGTGTCAGGAGAGAGGCCGGGGTTGTGATACCACAGTCAGTGTCAGGAGAGAGGGCAGAGGTCATGGTACCACAGTCAGTGTCAGGAGAGAGGGCAGAGGTCATGGTACCACAGTCAGTGTCAGGAAAGAGGCCAGGGGTCGTGATACCAGTCAGTGTCAGGAGAGAGGCCGGGGGTCATGGCACCAATCAGTGCCAGGAGAGAGGGTGGAGGTCATGGTACCACAGTCAGTGTCAGGAGAGAGGCCAGGGGTCGTGATACCAGTCAGTGCCAGGAGAGAGGGCAGAGGTCATGGTACCACAGTCAGTGCCAGGAGAGAGGGCGGAGGTCATGGCACCAGCCAATCCAGGAGAGAGGCCAGGGGTCACAGTGGGTCTCAAGGCTGCTCGATGCTCCCGCCCCGCAGGATGGCTGTGGTGCCAACAGCTCACAGCCCACCCTCAAGATCCTGACAGAGAACGTCATCTGTGGGAACTCAGGCGTCACCTGCTCTCGGGCCATCAAGATCTCCGTGGGCGTGAGCAGCGGGCCTCGGGCAGCAGGGGCGGAGTCCTCGTCACACAGCTGGGCCAGCCCCCCTTCACCGTGGCCCTCTCCGCAAGCCCCCCCTTCCTCTGCATGAAGGGGCAGGAGGCGGGGTGCCAGACACCACCCAGCTCCTCCGCAGGAGGCCACGCCCTGTCCACACCCTCAGAACCCCACTCAGTGCCCCCGTGGGCCCCACATGGGTGCCTTGCTGGCCAGGGCTTCCTTAGGCACTGGGCACGGGAGAGGGGCCAGCCGTAGGGCAGCCGGCCCGGCCCTGCGGGAGGCTGACTGAGCCCTGCTCCCACAGGGCCTGTCCATCACCATGGCAGACAGGAATTTCACGGTCAGCGGACGGGAGCCCGCCGTGCACTTCCAGGTGAAGCCCAGCAACCTGAACCTCATTCTGGACCTGGGGATGCCTGGGAGGTTCAACCTGACCCTCATCTGGAACAAGCACATGAGCGTCTCCATCAAGATGTATCGCATCTCCCAGGTACCCGCGCGGCTTCCCCCCACCCCACCACCGCCACCTCCCAGGTACCCCGCCGCCCCGCTCCTTCCCCCCACCCGCCACCTCCCAGGTACCCACGCCGCTCCCCCCCCACCCGCCACCTCCCAGCCGGTGTGCCCCATGTGCCCCAGCCGGCAGCCCCATCCATCTCTGGGGAAGGACACAACGTGTAAAGGTGCACTCCCCCACCTGATGCCCCCCACACACAGGACCCGCTCTGTGGCTTGTGTGGCAACTACAACGGAAACATGAAGGACGACTTTGAGACGCGCACCCAGTACGTGGCACCCAGCGAGCTGGAGTTCGTGAACTCGTGGAAGGAGAATCCGCTGTGCGGGGACGCCAGCTACGTGGTGGACCCTTGCAGCATCAACACCTTCCGCCGCTCCTGGGCAGAACGCAAGTGCAGCATCATCAACAGCCAGAGCTTTGCTGCCTGCCACAGCAAGGTGGGTCCCGGAGCCCAGGCCAAGCCCGGGGGTGCCTGACCCCCCCTGAGCCCAGGCCCAAGCCTAGGGGTGCCTGACCCCCCCTGAGCCCAGGCCCAAGCCCGGGGGTGCCTGATCCCCCCGTGAGCCCAGGCCCAAGCCCGGGGGTGCCTGACCCCCCCGAGCCCAGGCCCAAGCCCGGGGGTGCCTGATCCCCCCCAGCCCAGGCCCAAGCCCTGGGGTGCCTGACCCCCCCGAGCCCAGGCCCAAGCCCGGGGGTGCCTGATCCCCCCGTGAGCCCAGGCCCAAGCCCGGGGGTACCTGACCCCCCCTGAGCCCAGGCCCAAGCCCGGGGGTGCCTGATCCCCCCTGAGCCCAGGCCCAAGCCCGGGGGTGCCTGATCCCCCCTGAGCCCAGGCCC